GGTATTTTCTCCCTCATTTGTTGGCTGTTGCAAGTGACTGAGATGACCAAGTCCATGAGTAGAATTTCCTCTCAAACATGCAGGGATCTTTTCCCCTTTTCCCCTGCTCTCTTTCTGTCCTCTGTGCCACCGTATCGCAGGTGTCAGCGCCCAGTATTGTGAGGATATGAGCTGTGCTGCCGATGCCCCTGCCTGCCCTCACTCTCCCCCACTGCTTTACATGCCATCACTCCACACCAAACTCCGCCTGGATCCAGTGTTTCAACACACGGATGCCTGAATGCACTTTCTTGGGGGAATTTTTCAAGCTAACTCTTTGTTTTCCCAAGCGAGTTTATCTAGTTGGTTTGCTTTGCATCACTTTGACTGCAGAAGTCACGTTGACTGACTCATTCATGTGAAATTTTTACTCACGTTTTAACACTTCTGATGGAGTGCAATGTTCCCCCCCCCCCCCCTTCTGTTTCCATTGTGCAATCATTGGTGAAAACAAAACTCTCCGGGCAGGACGTGTCTCTCCCTTTCCTTAATATCCCAAAAGATCTTGTGTGACCTTTATTACCAAATGAATCCGGCTCTAATGTGAAAGAGAGAGTATAAAATGTACCTAACAAACTCTAGAGTCATCATCTGTGGAGAGTATTCATATTGTATATTTGGTTTAAAATAAAGATTTAAAATACTTAGAAATTAACTAAATTGATGGTGGCATACGTTCCCCCCCCCCCCCCATCAAGATTCTCTGCGTATAGACAAAGGTTTTAAAAGAAATCTATTAAGAATTGTAAACTATGTACCTTGCGCTTTTAAAGGGGTTTCTGGCCTGTGTACAAGGAGCCTCGGGGCTCCGGGGCCCCAGAGTTGAACTTCAGGGAGTAGTGTGTGTTTACACGTCACCTCTGCACACTTTGTGTTTCCATGTGTATTAGAAAATCTGTCTGTCATTCACAGGAATGTTTCAGGTCCTCTGTATTCTCACCGCCTTTATTCTGGACCCTCCATTCATACGAATGTCAGAGGGTGCAGCATAAGAGCTGTAAAAGGCACAGAAAAGAGGCAAATGTTTCTATTTTAAATCCTCCCATAGGTCATTTTGATATTTTGTAACCAACAAATGATCAGTTTTGTTTGTTTTTTAATACCTTTTGGGTGAGGGCTGTTTGAATTTGGTTGGCATTACTCATAATTGTGTGTCATACCTGTCACCGATATAGATTACACATTTTATTTTTTATTTTATCCTAGTTTTAAACTTGTCCTACTGACTGAATTTAGGGGATATGTAAGTAATACTGATATATGAGAAACACTAGATTGAAATGCAAACTTATTTTCTGAATAATGGAGGTTCAACCTCTGGTCAAACACTGTGCCATCCCACAGCTGCCAAGCCCGGTCACTACTGCATTGTCTCCTCTCCTGTTGACAGGCTATGAATGAGTGATGGTTATTTCAGTTCGCATGGACTTGAACACTCCTATCGCCAACACTACAAAGAAATGAAATGGGGAGCGATAGAGGGGTTGGTCTACAGGGAAGGGCTACATTTCCTGTAAAGAACATCAGTATTCATTTGCTGTGGTCGAATTGGCATACTAACGTACTGTGTACTGAAAAGTAGTATGATAGTGTGCCGTTTCACACGCATCCATTGTCCTCTGGCTCAGCATCACCACTATAACTCATATGTAACCTGTATCAAAATGTATAGATCGTGTATCATGTTATTGAATGTCTAAAAAGATTATACAAAAAGTTTAAAAATACAGAATAAATGGCTTGAAATTGTATTAAAGTATTCATGAATCAGAGAAAACAAAAGTCTAGAGATAAATGAACTATTTTTTTTTTTCTGTTCTGTAATTACTGTTGTGTTGATGGAGGAACACTGGTCAGAGGATCCGCTGTAATAAAAGTGAATTTAGTACAACATCACGTCTGACTTTTTATAGAATTATGATTACCAGCAGCTGGATGGTTGCATACAAGCTGTTTGTATGTCAGCTGGGGTTATAGATCTGATTTCAAATTGAAATTTTCTTTACAATAATGATTCTTATATTGACAGTTTGATGTTGTCTGCTTTTTGCTGTCAGTACATTTTTATTTTCATTTTTTTGACAAGCATTTTGATACTGACCACCAGTGAACTTTTTTTTTTTAAAGAGGGTTTTTTTCCTAACCCAAACAATCTTTATTTTATTTTATTTTATTTTATTATTATTATTGTTTATGTATTATGATTCTCATAGCCTTTATTAAGTAAATGTAGTTCTAAAAAAAAAAACAGCATGCTGACTACAGTTTTGTGTAGCACTTCACAGCAGAAGAGTTTAATCTCACTGGTATAATAAACAAAATTGACAAACTGTTCTAAATTAAAATTTTACATTTTAAAAAAATACATTTTTGGAACACATATTGTTTAAAGGCATTTTATTAGTGCATTATTAAGCTCTATATCAGAAATTATGATAAAAATGCAGGTAAATGTGTTTCCAGAAGGAAACATAGAAACACACTTAAATTACAAGTTCTCACTTTGCTGGGAAATTTTGCATTTCGGGGTTTTTTTTTTTTTTAATGGAAGATATAACATTCACAGGGGATACAGTCATAGCAATAAATTACATACACAACCAGAATACAAAACAAATATATAAAGAATAATAAAAATGAAATATAAAGAACAAAGACAAAAAAAAAATTAAACATCTTTTCTTTCCTTTTTACAAATAAATCATAAATAAATTAAAATAAAAAAAACCTAAATGGAAAATTGCATATAAAATGTCAACTTCAAAGGATACACAGGAGGTTTACATTAAAGTCAATATTTTTTCCATCAATATAGTAGTTTTAACAGCTTTCTTAATAAGTGAAGAGCAGAGAGATTCATAAAATAATTTCAAATCAATACAAAAAATCCTAACATTGGGCATACACTCAGTAACTTTACATTTGTGAAGATGAAATAGGCCAAAAAGAGTTAACAGTTTTAAGATATCATCCAGCTCCTCTGATCCTGATTCCCAAATTAAAAATAGTGCATTAATTACCTCAAAACTAAAAAGTTTGTTGTAAGCTGAGAAAACAAGCCAAGACATTTCTTTCCAAAAATCCTTTGCATAATCACGTTCAAAATATAAGTGTGATACTGTTTCCAAATTAGAATTACAGAATGTGCATTGTGAAGAGATGTCCAACTTAAATTTTGAGAGTAAAGAATTACAGACATTTCACATTTTGAAGATCTGTAACAACTTGCCCTAACCGAATGTAACATTTTAGGTGAAATAGAATTAATAACCCATTCATACACTCTAGGTGAGGTATCCACTTCAAAGATTTCTGAAAATTCGGAATAGGAATAGAAGTTACCATCCTTTTTTAACAAATCGAAAACAAAAATTACACCTTTGTTTTTTCCACGCAGCGCATTCTGATTATTCCATAGAATACATCTATGAGGGGAAAAATTGTGACAGAAGGCAAGCTTACAAGCATCCAGAGCTTGCTTATGAAAATTTGCAACTAAAATCACAAGCTAATTTTCAAGAACATTGTACTCATAAACAACATTCCCAAATTCTGACGGGGACCTTCTTTCCTTTTCTGATTTTGTGTTTTTGAAAGGTGCAACAATCTCACTAAAAGATTTTAATAAGG